TCTACCATCTTGCAATGTGAGACCCCTGGGTCACTGTCACCACCAGATAGACTTTGGGCTTCCCAGCCTCAGAAACTGTACGCAATAAATTTCATTTCCTTTGTAAATCACCTAGTTCAGTGTACTGTATTATAAGCAACAAAAATGGACTAATACAGCTGGAAATAGAATTATTAGTTGAAATTTGTTTTCTTTCTGACCTTTAAAGATGTCAGTCATTGATTTATGACCTCCATTTTTTTCACCTGAAAAATCAACCATAATTCATAACATTTTCATTCTGTATGTGATGTGTCTAACATTTTTTCCCCTGTGATTGCTTTTATGATTTTTTTCTTTATCCTTGTTTTTTTTTAGCTATTGTGCTATTCTTTACACTATAGTATACTTTGGTTTGCTTTTCTTTGTATTTACATTGCATGGGATTTGCTGAGCTTCTTGGATCTTTAAGTTTGTTTTTCACCAAATCTTGGAAATTTTTGGCTATTATTTCTTCTAATCTATTTTTATGCCTATTTGTTCTCTCCTTTTCTTCTGAGACTCCAATTATAATGGTGTTAAATATTTTGGTATTGTCCCATAGGTCACTGAAACTGTTCATTTACGTAAACATTTTTTTCTCTTTGTTCTTCAAATTGGGTAATTTCTTTGAAAGATTTTCAAAGTTATGGACATTTTGTTCTGCTACCTCCATCTGCTGTTAAGCCCATACAGATATTGTAATTTTTGCTCTTAAATTTCCTTTTGGTTCTTTCAATTTTTCTGCTAAGATCCCCATTTGTTCACTTATTATGACCATATTTTTCTTTCCCATCAACATATTTATAATGCTTATAATGTAAACATTTCTGATATATATTTTTATAAACAAAATATTTATAATATAAATATATTGAGGCCCTTTTCTGTTAATACCAATGTCTGCTCCATTTCAGGGTAGGTTTTATTGATGGCTTTTTTTTTGACTATTGGTCACATTTTCCTGTTTCTTTGTATGTGTCGTAATGTTTTATTTTATCCTGAACGGTGTGGATGGTTGTTGAGACTTCGAGTTGTATTATCTTTATCCTAGGAGAGCTGATTTTTTTTTCCTTTTCGTCTTTTTTACTGACCGGTAACGGGATCGCAACCCTCGGTGTCGTGCCCGTACCGGGGACCGGCAACGGGATCGCAGCCCTCGGTGTCACGCCGGCACCGCACTCAGCCAGTGAGCGGGAACCGGTCTCCACATGGGATCCGAACCCTCAGCGGGAGCGCCTCTGCGCTCCCAAGTGGCACACTCTCTGTCGGGCCTCCCTGAGCCAGAGGCCGACAAAACCGAGCGGGAAGAGACCCCGGTCCAGCCGGGGGTCCCTTGTGGGGCTGAGCGGGATGATGAGTGTCGCTGGCACGGCCCTTCCCCCCCAGGACCTTCCTCCCCGGGGGCCGAGAAAGAACACCACCGAGCCAGGAGAGTGGTCAAAGCCGGAACTCCGTTTATTTGCAGGGCGGCACAGCTTATATAGGGAAAAAGGGCAGGGCGGGTTTTGATATGAGAGATCAAGCAAAGAGCCAATAAGAAGGGCTTAAAAGGATAGGGTGAGGTGGTGGGGAGGCTTTACG